TAAAAAAAATGTAGAAGATGATTATAGAATAAATTGAATGATAATTATGATATTGTTGATAATGATTTGTAAATTATAGAATGTAGTAGAGAGTAGAGTAGAGAATGAAAGTTTGATAGGAAAAAAAATTGTGTAATGAATAAGTATTTATAGAAGAAGAAAATTTTAAAAAAAGTGACCAAACGGTCACTAAAAAAAAAATTCAGTGACCGTTCCGGTCACATAAGTTTTACTTTATTTTTTTAAAAAAATTTGATGAGCCTCGGCTCGTGGGCTCGCCAACGAGCAGCTCGTGAATAGTACAAGCCGAGCGAGCTTGGCTAGCTAGCCAGCCCGCTCGGCTCGTGCTTAGGCTCGTGTAGCGGCCAAGCCGACGAGCCACTCGGCTCGATTGCCACCACTATTGACAGTCTCTCCATCACTAACTAAACAAACGGAATCCATCTTCTAGGCTTGAGCATATTCATTATTTTGTGGAAGAAATAATACTTTTTGTCCGATATGTTAGAACATTTTCAAGACACTTTCTATTTTTAAATAGCATATTATACAATTTAGAGAATATCTATAAATTTGAAAAGTAAAAATTTTTAAGTATTCCAATAGGCTTTTTATATTTAACACTTAATTTTATTACTACAAAAAAATATTTATTACTTTTTCCTATCTTTTATTTTTACTAGCTTTCTTCTAAATTATTATATTATTTTCCTTCATTAAAAATTGAAATATTTTGAATGTATTTAATTATAGATACTGAGTTTGACTCTCTAAATTTGGAGGGCTAAGACTATCTCCAAACGACTCTTTATTTTTTAAGAATATAGTCTATCATTTGGAGAATATCTATAAATTTAGATAGTTAAAATTTTGGTGTACTCCAACAGGCTCTTTATATTTAACACTTAATTTTACTATTCCTAAAAAATATTTATTATTTTTATTTTAATTAGTTTTTCTTTAGATTATTTTATTGTTTTCCTACATTGAAAATTGAAACACTTTGAATACATTTAATTATAAAGAGTGAGTTTGACTCTCCAAATTTGAAGAGACAAACACACTTTCTAAAGTAAAATGTTAATTTAAAGAATCTTTAGAAACATGATTTTAAATGTTATTATTTAAAATAGAGAATAACTCATGTTTAAAGAGTCTCTTGAAGATACTCAAAACTTACTCTAACTTAAAATATTAATTTATAGAGTCTCTTAGACCATAATTTTAAGTGTTAACTCTTTAAAATAGAGAATATTTTATATTTAAAGAATCTTTTAGAGATACTTTTAAGTGTGCTACCTTGAACTATGGCCGAACTATTCATTTAAGATAGTATCGTCTTCGTCTCTAAATGCCTATTGTTATAAAATTCAGTGATAAACACTTCAAAACCTTTACATGATTTTAATAATAAGTAAGTTGAATTCCATCTATAACATACGTTAATAATAAAGGTTTTTGTATGCTCATTCCCATCTTGTTCACAAAATTTCTCAAATGCTTGTTTTCTACTAGGTGTAATCGTGATATATATAAGTGTATTCGTAATTCGGCTAATTTCATCCTTAACATGTTTTAAATTGTCTTGTACTATTAAATTAAAAATATGGCACACATATCAAAAATGAAATAAATAACCACCGAAATCGAGTTGAAGTACTCTATGCAATTTATCGATAACGACCTTATTTACAGAAGAATTGTCGAACATAAAAGAACAAATTTTATTCTCGCATTTATATTCTCTAATTATTAACATAATAGCATTAAATATAGTTTGAGCGTTATGAGGATACTCAACAATTTTAAAAACAATAATTTTTTTATGCATGACCCAAAGTGGATCTATATATTGTGCAGTTGCAGCTATATAACCTCTTTTATTAATCCATTCCCACAAATTCGAAGTTAAAGATATCACACCCCCATATTTTTCTAAATCCGCAATCAATAGTTTCTTTGAATTAAGAAAATATTCAATTGTATTAGAACGAAGAGTACTTCGACTTACCCCAACGTACCTCGGTTAAAGATATTGTTTGACGTAATTTACGAAATGTTGACTGTCCACTATTGCTAGTGGCACTCCGCCGCGACAATGAATTTCACCATTCCTGTTCGAGCTTCCTCCTCCGAATACATCCACGTAGAAAGTGGCGTAGTATTAACATCGGCGCCTGGAGTACCAAACTGTAGTTGCGTTTGACCAGCTGGGAGAAGCTCATATTTGGCTGC